GTTTAACAAAACAGTATATCAATGAGCATATGAAGAAAAAGGAACTGTCTTACATTGTTGAAAGGAATGTAAGGGCTATACCATCTATTTGGGGTTTTTTTTGAGACAGGGTCTTGCTTTGTCACTCAGGTTGGAGTGCAGTGGCACAGTCATGGCTCACTGCAGCCTCAGCTGACTTGGCTCAAGTGATCCACCTCAGCCTCCCTAGTAGCTGGGGCTACAGGGATCCACCATGTCTAGCTAATTCTTTGTATGTGTGTGTTTTGTTGTTGTTGTTGTTGTTGTTGTTTCTGAGACAGAGTCTTGCTCTGTCACCCAGGCTGGAGTGCAGTGGCATGATCTTGGCTCACTGCAACCTCTGCCTCCCGGGTTCAAGCGATTCTCCTGCCTCAGCCTCCCAAGTAGTCGGGATTACAGGCATGTGCCACCACACCCAGCTAATTTTTGTATTTTTAGTAGAGATGGGTTTCACCACATTGGTGAAGCTGGTCTCAAACTCCTGACCTCAGGTGATCTGCCCGCTTTGGCCTCCCAAAGTGCTGGGATTACAGGCGTGAGCCACCACACCTGGCAGTTTTTAAAAATTTTTTGTAGAGACGGGGTCTCACTGCATTGCCCAGGCTTGTCTGGAACTCTGAGCTCGAGTGATCCTCCCACCTCAGCACACTTAAGTGCTGGAATTACAGTCATGAGCCACCCTGCCTGACCTATACCATCTATTAATAGAAATTTCACTATAGCTACCAAACATTGAAAAGCCCATACACTTAACCTAGCAATTAAAATTTAAGTTTATCCTATACTTGTTCATATATACTATTATATGTAATTGTTCATGTATGTTCTTATACATGTGTGTTCACATATTTATTAAATACACAACATATAGATATACACATACACACATATGCACATATGCAAAATTTAAATTGCATGTTTAATAAATAATACATGATTGGATAACAACTAGTTATAGAGAACTTACTGTAAATTATTGTACATCCATACAATGGAATACTGTGTAATCTTGATGCAACTTATTTCTAAGATATAGTGTTGAAAGAAAAGGAAATTATAGAAAATTTTGTTATCTTTTGTATTTTTTAAAACATGTATGTGTAAAACACACACACTGATTTTCCCTAGATACCTTGAAATTGTCAACATGGTAACCTCTGATGCCCCTGACCCAACTGACAGTCTCTGAGACTTCTCTATAGAAGCCACTGGGGACTGTGGAGTCCACTTTGCATGCTGTTAGTTTAACTGTTCAGCATAATGTGATTACCCAGCTGGCTGGAGATTTATAACAAGAGACCACTTTGCAGTGGCATGTGATCAGTTTGATAGGGAATTTGACCTGCATTGTGTTCCTGAATGGAGTGAGTTACTAGCTAGAAGCTCTTTGAGGGCAGAACACTTGTTTTTTCCAGTATTCTATTCCCAGTGGCTAACATGGCACGTGGCACATGATATCCAATGTGTATTCAATTATTGAATACTAGATCTGGGTTTTTTTTTTTTTTTTGTATGCTAGATCCATGTAACTTCTTGACATGAATAAGATTATTCATCTGCTAAATTCACAGATGTTGTCAAACTAATAGGGTTACTCAGATATAACTTAAAATTGCTCTGAAAATTGACATAGTATTAAAAAACACACAGCACAATCATCTTGGAGAAGGATTTCCTATACTTTAGATTTGGAGCTTCTGGAATAAAAGGGCTGAACTAAGTGATTTGGGTAATCTTTCCCAGCTTAAAGTTTGGTTTCTTCATATTGACTTCAAAAATCATGAGCAAAATAGGGAGTCTTCTTATAAGTGAAATACTAAGAGGAGTTTTTACATAACTGACACTGTTACATTTATTTTACTACTTCTGTATAAAAGAAAAAAATAGACAAACTAGTATAATTTGGCTACTTTCTATTAAGAATTTAAAGTTAATATAGTTTTGTGACTTGGACTGAGAGAGTTTTATGACGCAAAGTTCTTAGTTGTTTTTCTGGTAACTGGGGGCATAATTTTTGCTAACATCAGTTCTGATTAAACTGTAAATCCATTTAGATGCTAGTTTGACCAAAGTAATAACTCTTTAGTCTTTACCAAGTGTTTTTTTTTTTTAACAATGCATGGAAATGACTATAATGATTTTGCTACAGTGCCACAAATTAATATCCCTTCCCTCCACTTGGAAATCAACAGTAACAAATGTAGTAAACACTGTAAGTTGCCTACCCCGTCTTCCTTCCAAACAGATTCCTGATTTACTTCAGGTATATATACAAATCTATAGGACTCTGGGAAAGTTGACTTTGTATCCTTTATCGCTGGTGGATTCTGGTCATTCTAAGCCAGTTAGCACATAATATTCTTCAGACAACTGTTAGTGGTCTAGGGTTGGTCATGTGCCAAGCATGCTGAAGAAAGGCTTTATTTCAAGGATGGAGGACAAGATAAGCATCTTAAGCTGAATATGAACAAAGAAGCATGTTGTCCTACCTGCTGCTGGTAGCTGTCTTCTGACCATGTTGGGTATCGGGTTTAGATGAGGCAAGCTTTTTAATGGCACAGTGAAGAGGTGCAAGGAATCCAAGAGTTGACCAATCCAAGAGCCTTTCTGGACTCTGAATTCCTTTTATTCATATTATAAAACATTCCTTTTTTTATTAAGCGGTCTTGATTCAGAATTTCAGTTGCTTATAGCCAAAAACCATGGTTCCTGGTACATCATTTCTAAATATTCATTTTGTTCCTAACCTAGGTCTGTTTTTTTTTTTTTTTTCATGGTGCTAGGTATTGTTGGGAAGCTCTTAATCGTAATTCTTGCAGACTATAAATGCCAAAAGTTTGCCGACATAAAACAAACATACTTATCTGTATTTATCTTCTAGAGTCTGGAACAACCTATGTGGTCAATAAGCATTTCTTTTTTCTGTTTCATGACTAGGACTTGTTATATGACAATAGAAAGAGACAGTACACCTGTCTCTTTCTTACTTAATGCCTACTCTGTTTCATTAAGAGATTAAAATTCATCTCTGTGAAATGCTTTATGATTGTGGAGGACATGTTCTGTTTTCTGGAGAAAGCCGTTTCAAGATTAATATCATGCTTCTCAAAAGGCATTTTCTTTCAGGTTCCATTTCAGAAGTTTTATGTTATTCCTTTACTTCTTTACCTTGAAAGCACTATGGTTCCATAGACTCTAATTCAGCTCAAGTCACTTCCTGGCATTTTAAGTTAGTCTGTGGAATGCTATATATTTTTCCATAATGTTTTGATTCTGTGAAGGTGTCATTTTCACACTATAATTTTGCAGAATGCAAATTTTGGTTAGTTATTCAGTTCTAGACCCATATTTTATATTTGAAATGTCATGACTGTATTCAAAATAAGTTAAGTGAAGCTTCAGCAAGGGGTTTGCTTTTATAAAGTGTATTAAATACCTAAGTAATGACAAACAGAAATGTACTACTGCAAATGTAGTTCAGGGATGAGAAGTCAGGGTATAGGTAACCAACTACCTGGTTTGACTTGAGACAGACAGCAGAAGTATTACTCAGGCAGAACATCTCTTATCCAAAATGCCTTACATCATTCACTTTACAGGGTTATATTTAGAGGAAGCTATAAATACAAATATGATTTGGAGAAGGCAACATATTCAGTTGTCAACCATTAGCACATTGTATGATCAATTGTTAAAACTAAAAGACTTTGGAGATTACCCAGTTCCCCTCTGTCATTTTGTAAGCACTTGGTAAGTTTAAATGGCTTACTCTATCTCACTTTCTTTTATGTTTTCTTTTTCCCCCTGGAAGTAATAAAGACTTAGGGAATGTCAACTTTAATACATATTCTTTTACATAGAAAAAGAGGACATATAGATAACCCAGCCAAGCATCCTGTTATCAGCAGCTGTCTTCAAAAAGTATGCTGTGGGAAGACATATTGGTCTTCCCTAATATTATATTTTTGTTTTTGTTGTTTTCTTTTGTTTGAGACAGAGTCTTGCTCTTTTGCCTGGGCTGGAGTGCAGTGGTGCAATCTCTGCTTGCTGCAACCTCCGCCTCCCGGGTTCAAGCAATTCTTCTGCCTCAGCCTCCCGAATAGCTGGGACTGCAGGCGTGCGCCACCACACCAGGCAATTTTTTGTATTTTTAGTGAAGACAGAGTTTCACCATGTTGGCCAAGCTGGTCTCGAACTCCGGACCTCAAGCCATCCGCCCACCTCAGCTTCCCAAAATGCTGGGATTTACAGGCATGAGCCACAGCGCCCAGCCTCTTCCAATGGTATGTGATTCATCAGTTTTTTTAGTCTTCTCTGTCATTGATATTTTGTACCAGTTCCACCTCTAAGGAGAATTCGTTGTCTAAATTTTTATGAGAGGAAAAATGCTGCATGATAATACAAATTAAAAGTATTTATAGCCATACCTAAAGATTGTTAATTAATGGGTCATTGTCAGCTTCCAGAAATGTCTCGAGGGAGAGCATCAGGATAAATAGCTAATGCATGCAGGGCTTGATACCTAGGTGATGGGTTGATAGGTACAGCAAACCACATGGCACTCATTTACCTGTGTAACAAACCTGTACACCTGCACATGTATCCTGGAACTTTAAATTAAATTAAATTAAATTAAATTAAATTAAATTTATTTATTTATTTATTTATTTTTGAGATGGAATCTTGCTCTGTCGCCCAGGCTGGAGTGCAGTGGTGCGATCTCAGCACACTACAACCTCCATCTCCCAGGTTCAAGTGATTCTCCTGCCTCAGCCTCCTGAGTAGCTGGGACTACAGGCGTGTGCCACCATGCCTGGCTAAATTTTTGTATTTTTAGTAGAGACAGGGTTTTACATGTTAGCCACGATGGTCTCAATCTCCTGACCTCGTGATCCACCTGCCTCGGCCTCCCGAAGTGTTAGGATTATAGGTGTGAGCCACGCGCCTGGCCTAAGTTAAATTAAATTTTTTAAAAAATGTCTCTTATGGAATTGTGCTGTCCCTCCGTTGTCCTCAGCATTGTTGCATTTAATGTTCTCACCCATGACTAAATAGAGGTTGTGTCTATTCCATTTGCAAATGGTTCAAATCTGAGAGAAATAGTTAATATAGTGGATGGCAGAGATATGTTTGAAAAACAATTAGATAAATATTAATAGAATATGTATTCTGCATTGAGATTTAGAAAGTCAGCTTTGTGTGGAAGGGATTTGAGAAACCCTCACCTATTTATCAATAGTTCAGTTCTAAAAGATTTGTAGTTTTGAATAACCTTAGGCTAAATTGGAGTAAGGGATGGTTCTACTTCATTCATTGATTAGACTGCATCTAGAGTACAGTTTAATTTTGAATTTATCCACTCATTCTGAAAGTATTTTAGGATGCCTCTTATATGCTAAGCCATGTGGTAGCCATCAGATATGCATTAGGGAACAAGACACACATAGTCCAGCCTTCACTTGAGTTTTCAAGTCAAATACTAATCTAGTTGAATATTCTAGAACTAAAAGAAGAGAGTTTCAAGACAGTGATGGAGTTAGGTAGGGATAATATACAGAGTCTTGTTCTTCATAATGGCAATAAGAAGGCATTGCAGGGCAGGGGCGGCGCTGAGCATGCCGGGAGTGGTAGTCCCCGCGGCCGGCTCCCGCCAGTGCCCCGGAGCCCAGGGCCGCGGCGGTCCGAGGACGAGGGCGGAGCGGCCGCCGCGCCTGCGCAGAAGGCCGGGGCCGGCGAGACGCCGGCGGCGCGGGGGAGATGATCCACAAGATGAAAACAAAATTGGAATCGATGGGATTCAACAGTTTTGTGATGATCTGAGCCTAGATCCTGCCAGTATCAGTGTGTTGGTCATAGCGTGGAAGTTCAGGGCAGCAACTCAATGTGAATTTAGCAGAAAGGAATTTCTAGATGGCATGACAGAACTCGGGTGTGACAGCATGGAGAAGCTAAAGGCTCTTCTGCCAAGACTAGAGCAGGAGCTGAAGGACACAGCCAAATTTAAAGATTTTTATCAGTTTACTTTCACTTTCGCTAAGAATCCAGGGCAGAAAGGTTTAGACTTAGAAATGGCTGTTGCGTATTGGAAGTTAGTGTTATCTGGAAGGTTTAAGTTTCTAGATCTCTGGAACACGTTCTTACTGGAACATCACAAAAGATCAATTCCAAGGGACACCTGGAACCTCCTGCTGGACTTTGGAAACATGATTGCAGATGATATGTCTAACTACGATGAAGAAGGAGCTTGGCCTGTTCTTATAGATGATTTTGTAGAATATGCACGGCCGGTAGTCACAGGTGGAAAACGCAGCCTTTTCTAGGCAGCAAGTTAAGCAGGAGTAAGATGATGAAATGATTTGTATCCTGCAAGGAGATTTCGGTCAGTTCCTGGGTGCGTTGTCACTGATTCCAGAGTTCCTGGGTGCATTGTCACTGATTCCAGAAGTCATTCTTGACCCGCTGACCCGCCATGGAACCAGAGGAGCCATCCCATTCTGCCGGAGGACAGCAGCGGCTGCTTTGTGGACACCGCAGGAAGTTCCCCAGGACATGGCTGCTTTGGGATGTTTGGAGATTTGTCATCATAGCTGTTGCGTTAGGAGATTTCTGCATGATTTTTTAGTATTTACAAAACACTAAGGTAGAGCCGTGGCGCCGCCTGTGGGACCGCAGAGCATGCTGCGTTGCTCACGCCATCAGGCGAACCAGCGGCCAGCCGAACGCCGCCGAATGATGTTGCAGTGGCACTGGAAGCACGGCATGTGTCCTCTGCAGGATGCTGCGTTTTTATATAAGTCAAAGCTGTTAAGAATGTGCCCTAAAGGAGATGATCTTGTCATAGAGTCTAATGTTTTTTAAAATTGGTGCCAGGAATTCAAGATTTATATTTTTTGAATTATCAAATATCTAGATTTACCAGCTCTATTTTTGTTTCCATTTTCTCTAGACATACATCTGAAAATCATTTTATGGTTCTCAGTCCCCATGTAGCTTTGCACAGCAACGGCACACATGGCACAATTCCAGCAGAGTTTATCTCACACCATTTATACATCAGTGGACCCCTCTTACTTAAATGTTACCTGACCTGAGAAACTTCATAAAGTGTGTTTTTAAAAAATATGTTTTAGTTATATTTTAAAAGACATTTTTCCATGAAAAACATTTATTTCATGAGTGATGAATTGTAGATTTTAAAATCGAGGCCAGGCACGGTGACTCACGCCTGTAGTCCCAGCACGTTGGGAGGCCGAGGCAGGTGGATCGCCTGATGTCAGGAGTTCGAGACCAGCCTGGCCAACGTGGTGAAACCCCGTCTCTACTAAAAATACAAAAATTAGCCGGGCGTAGTGGCGCATGCCTGTGATCTGGGCTACTCGGGAGGCTGAGGCAGGAGAATCGCTTGAACCCAGGAGACGGAGGTTACGGTGAGTCGAGATTGCACCACTGCACTCCATCCTGGATGACAGAGTGAGATTCTGTCTCAGTAAATTAAAAAATAAATCAATACAGTAAAAAAAAAAAAAAAAAGAAGGCATTGCAGGGTATTTTGGTTTTTAATTATCAGTATTATAGGTTCTTAAATTGCAGTAAAATATGCATAACAAAATTTATCATTTAGTGTTTTTAAATGTACAGTTCAGTAGATACGGTTGCCTATATATATATGTTTTAGGTTTTTTAACTGCAGTAAAATATGTACAACAAAATTTACCATTTAAACATTTTTAAATGTACAATTCAGTGACCTTCAGTACATTCTAATGTGTTTCACTACATTCTGTTGTTGTGCAACCATTACCACGCTATATCATCAGAACTTTTTCATCATTCCAAATTGAAACTCTGTACCCATTAAATATTGTCCCCATTTCCCCTTCCCCAGTCCCTATAATGTGAAACTTAAAGCATGAAACATACATCATTAGATTTACAAATTTGATTTATTATCTAAGATATTTCACATGGTTCAAAATTCTAAACCTATAAAAGAGTATACACATTGAAAAACCCCTCTTACCTAAATTCTTCTCCCTATAGGCAACTGTATATGGTTTTAATCTTTTCTCAGAAACTGTGTGCATATTCAAGTAAATTCATACGTTTTAAAAAGATTGTAATGTAAGCATAAACATTGTTTTGTACTTTCCCCTTTTGTCTTTTTTTTGTATACATAAATAACTTCCTCCCTTTTATGGTTGCATGTCATTATATCATTGGAAATATACTGTACTTTTGGGGATGGCAGGAAGTTGTGAGTTTGCATTGTACGGTTTATATTTTCTCTGTGGAATGGGAAGGACAATCATATGTTCAGTGAAATGGAAAAATAGAGGGTTAAAGGTTTCATGAAAGTTGATGTGGTCTGAAATTTTGCCAAATGAGAATGAGATTAGTGTGGTAGGATTGTTAACAGCTCTAGTAACCATTTGAGATCAGCAACTCCAGATTTGTAATGGAACCAGTTCTCTAAGGTACAATTTCTCCAGCCACACCCAGCAGCCTGGATACAGGCCTGGAAAAGGCTTCAGGCCTTTTTGATCCTGAAGTTGGATCCATTCAAGATTGGATTTTTTCAACAGCTTATGATGCATGGACTGTGAGACAAGGGAACTTAATTTGTATTAATAAGAACAAAGGTAATGTATGAACTCTGAAATCAAAAGGGCTGAGGAAAGATGTGAAGACAGAAAAAATATAATGGATTTGGAAATGAGAGGAGTCAGTTGACTGAAAGGTATTGATGCGATAGTAAAGACCATAGTGAGTATAAATGAACAAGCACCTTCGAAGAATGGGGTAAGTAGAGAGTGGAATGTCTGAATTTACCAGGTAGAATGGTTTCTTAGGACCTGGTTATAACCATAGGGATAGTTGGAGTAGATTTTAGAAGGTCCGGCCGGGCGCGGTGGCTCACGCCTGTAATCCCAGCACTTTGGGAGGCCGCAACGGGCAGATCACAAGGTCGGGAGATTGAGACCATCCTTGCTAACACAGTGAAACCCCATCTCTACTAAAAATACGAAAAAATTAGCCGGGCATGGTGGCGGTCGCCTGTAGTGCCAGCTACTCTGGAGGCTGAATCAGGAGAATGGTGTGAACCCGGGAAGCGGAGCTTGCAGTGAGCCGAGATTGCACCACTGCACTCCAGCCTGGGCAACAGAGTGAGACTCCGTCTCAAAAAAAAAAAAGATTTTAGAAGGTCATTGAAGACAATAAGTGTGAGGAACTAAGAGGGAACTAGGAGCCATATTTTAAGCATTTTAACAAATGAAAACATATCTGGGAAAGGGTGACCAGAATAATGAGAGGAATCTCATATTCAGTTCTACAAATGTCTAATGTTATTGATTGCCTACTATATTTAAGATATTATTTCAGAGCTGCCAGCAATACAAAGATGAATAAGACATAGTACTTGATCTTATGAAGCCTATAGGAATTTGAAAGCAAGAAGCCCTAAGGGGAATAGGTTTTTAAATATTTAAAGATCTGTCATGTTTTAAAAGAATTAGACTTCTGTCTTTGTGGCCTCAGAGAGCAAAACTAGTATCAAGCAGTGGAACTTAATCCTGATGTAGATTTTGGCTTAATATGAGTAAGAACTTTTAAAATATATATACTTACATATGTAGCACTATAACAATAAAAATAGAAAGGGAAAATACCATAATTCTGCTATACTAACAAGTAAACTGTTTTCATTTTTTATTTCTACTCTTGTCTATATATCTAATAATTATTACATAGTTTTATCTATCTTACATGTAATGAATGCTATCATCTGCTAATTTTCTCTTAGCAATGCCTTGTCCCATACGTTAACATTGTCTTTATAAGTTGTTTGATTTTCTTTACTTTTATTAATTTAAAGATAGTTTATTGCATTTGGGAAAGTTATCAATACTTATTTTAACAAACCACACATAGAAAAAACATTTTTTTAAAAAAGTAAAAGTCTCCTAGTCTCTGATAAAACAGACTTTAAACCAACAAAGATCAAAAGAGACAAAGAAGGCCATTACTATAATGGTAAAGGGATCCATTCAACAAAAAGAGCTAACTGTCCTGAATATATATGCACCCCATACAGGAGCACCCAGATTCATAAAGCAAGTCCTTAGAGACCTACAAAGAGACCTAGACTCCCACACAATAGTAATGGGAGACTTTAACACCACACTGTCAATATTAGACAGATCAACGGGACAGAAGGTTAACAAGGATATCCAGGACTTGAGCACAGCTCTGCACCAAGCAGACCTAATAGACATCTACAGAATTCTCCACCCCAAATCCACAGAATATACATTCTTCTTAGCACCACATCACATTTACTCTAAAATTGACTACATGATTGGAAGTAAAGCACTCCTCAGCAAATGTAAAAGAACAGAAATTACAACAAACTCTCAGACCACAGTGTGATCAAATTAGAACTCAGGATTAAGAAACTCACTTAAAACTGCACAACTACATGGAAACTGGATAATCTGCTCCTGAATGACTACTGGGTAAATAACAAAATGAAGGCAGAAATAAAGATGTTCTTTGAAACCAATGAGAACAACGACACAACATACCAGAATCTCTGGGACACATTTAAAGCAGTATGTAGAAGGAAATTCATAGCACTAAATGCCCATAAGAGAAAGCAGGAAAGATCTAAAATCGATACCCTAACATCACAGTTAAAAGAACTAGAGAAGCAAGAGCAAACAAATTCAAAAGCTAGCAGAAGGCAAGAAATAACTAAGATCAGAGCAGAACTGAAGGAGATAGAGACACAAAAAAATAAAATCATTGATTAAAAAAAAATCAGTGAATCCAAGAGCTGGTTTTTTGAAAAAATCAACAAAATTGATAGACTGCTAGCAAGACTAATAAAGAGGAAAAGAGAGAAGAATCAAATAGATGCAATAAAAAATGATAAAAGGGATATCACCACTGATCCACAGAAATACAAACTTCCATCAGAGAATACTATAAACACCTCTATGCAAATAAACTAGAAAATCTAGAAGAAATGGATAAATTCCTGGACGCATACACCCTCCCAAGATTACACCATGAAGAAGTTGAATCTCTGAATAGACCAATAACAGGCTCTGAAATTGAGGCAATAATACCTACCAGCCCAAAAAAGTCCAGGACCAGACAGATTCACAGCCAAATTCTACCAGAGGTACAAAGAGGAGCTGGTGCCACTCCTTCTGAAACTATTCCAAACAACAGAAAAAGAGGGAATCCTCCCTAACTCATTTTATGAGGCCAGCCTCATCCTGATACCAAAGCCTGGCAGAGACACGACAGAAAAAGAGAATTTTAGACTAATATCCCTGATGAACATCGATGCGAAAATCATCAGTAAAATAGGGGCAAACCGAATCCAGCAGCACATGAAAGAGTTTATCCACCACAGTCAAGTCACCTTCATCCCTGGGATGCAAGGCTGGTTCAACATACGCAAATGAGTAAACATAATCCATCACATAAACGGAACCAACAACAAAAGCCACATGACTATCTCAATAGATGCAAAAAAGGCCTTCAACAAAATTCAACAGCCCTTCATGCCAAAAACTCTGAGTAAACTAGGTATTTATGGAACGCATCTCAAAATAATAAGAGCTATTTATGATAAACCACAGCCAATATCATACTGAATGGCCTAAACCTGGAAGCATTCCCTTTGAAAACCAGCACAAGATGAGGATGCACTCTCTGACCACTCCTATTCAACATAGTGTTGGAATTTCTGGCCAGGGCAATCAGGCAAGAGAAAGAAATAAAGGGTATTCAATTAGGAAAAGAGGAAGTCAAATTGTCACTGTTTGCAGATGACATGATTATATATTTAGAAAACCCCATCGTCTCAGCCCAAAATTCCTTAAGCTGATAAGCAATTTCAGCAAAGTCTCAGGATACAAAATCAATGTGCAAAAATCACAAGCATTCCTATAAACCATTAACAGAAAGCCAAATCATGAGTGAACTACCATTCATCATTGTTACAAAGGGAATAAAATACCTAGGAATCCAACTTACAAGGGATGTGAAGGACCTCTTCAAGGAGAACTACAAACCACTGCTCAATGAAATAAAAGAGGACACAAACAAATGGAAGAACATTCTATGCTCATGGATAGGAAGAATCAATATCGTAAAAATGGCCATACTGCCCAAGGTGATTCAGTGCCATCCCCATCAAGCTACCAATGACTTTCTTCACAGAATTGGAAAAAAAACTACTTTAAAGTTCATATGGAACCAAAAAAGAGCCCACATTGCCAAGACAATCCTAAGCCAAAAGAACAAAGCTGGAGGCATCATGCTACCTGACCTCAAACTATACTACAGGGCTACAATAACCAAAAAAGCATGGTACCAAAACAGAGATATAGACCAATGGAACAGAACAGAGCCCTCAGAAATAATACCACACATCTACAGCCATCTGATCTTTGACA